TTGTCAAGTCTGGAACAGGAAGGCCGGCGGCTGTCCCAAAGCGCCTGTCTGAACTCGTCGCTTTCGATGAAGCCGCTGCCGTCCCTTGGGCAGCGCAAGCAGGAACGCAGGGAGCCCGTGCCAACTCAAGCAATCAAGCTGAGAGCCTCCAGCCAGAAAGCCAATAGCCAAGGAAGACACTGAAAAGCAAACCAAAACAAAATGCCGAGCAATGCAATGCAATGCAACAAACAGCGTTGACTGCAGCGATTCTTCTGGCAAGGCTTGGTTTTTCAAGTGCAAGCTGGGGAATTGATCCTCTTTAGACCATGAGGCCATGACACTCAACTGAAATCTAAACATTCTCATTCACCTGTTTGGCTTTCAGGAGGGCAGTCCAAGAGTGCAAGCCCCCGCTGATTGAACAAGATACAGTTGCCCTGTGCTGAATGCAGCAATGACCAAACACCTGAGTAGATCGGCAAATCTACATTCAATGACAGAAGGACTCCGTGCCTACAGCTCACTTCATGGTGCTTGACTGCTTTTGGCTACCACCCCTTGGTCTGGTGAGTACCCTCACTTCAAGCGCGGGGCATGCGCAGATACTTCAAACCGGCCAAGCTGCGCGTCGAAAGAGTTGAAGGCTTGCAACAGGTACTCAACCTGAGACCGGAAGCCCGGGCTCGGGCACTCGCGCAGACGTCACGGCGGGCTCTTGGCGCTCCCTTTCAGACCGCAGAACTCGGAGCCCTTTGAACATCCATTGGACACCAGCCAATCGGAGGGTCGATGCCATGTCCAGTTCTGGAGGGTCCATGGCGAACGACAGCATCATGAAAGCCAAATGAAAGTTTGTTTGGGCTAGCAGGAAGTACCTAATGTCCAAGGTAGAAGGATATGACAGAGAAACTGTCACTTCATGCTTATCAACCCCCAGGAAGAACGCGTGCCACTGTCAAAGGTATCATCTGATGTTGCCTGTTTCAAGATCCCAAGCAGGATTCATTTTCAGCCGGTCGCTTTTCTTGCCAGAGTCACGTCTCTGTGAATTTGACCAGGCTTCATAGATCCAGCTGGCTTGGTCTACCCTGCGACAAGCTATTGTGTGCTTAGTTGGAAGGGCTAAAGGCTAAAGGTCCGACCAAAGAGCAAAGTGAGCTGACAACCGGGTCCTGGACACCGGGTATCATTATATTTGTGCCCATCCGGTCATTTGCCAGGGATGCTTCTTCCTTAGAGATGGCCCAAGACTATACTGATAGTAAGGAATAAAAATAAATATCTACCCTTGGATCTATATATCTGACCCGTTTGTATAGGGAGGGGCCTGAGTTCAATTGTGCTACTGTCGCATGAAGTCTTTGAACTGCGCTCCAACAAAGACACGCCGCAAGGCAGGCAGGCGGCGCATCTTCACGCTGATGCGCCTTCGAATTGGATCTTCTTGCCAACCCGGCTGTCATGGTCACACCCTTGTAGTTTTGGTTCCCTTCAAGTCGGCATCAAAATCTCGAACAAGCAAATGGCTGTGGGTCAAAACCAATGGTACCATTTTGGGGTAGGTGCACCACCCATTTTAGTCTATTGTAGTGGGGATTGGGAGGTTCACTGGGGGTACGGGATTTGACCCATGGCCAAATAGTAGCCTCGGTGAAACAAAGGAGCAAAACAGAGGTCGGCTTCTCTGTCAACACGGCTCCCAAACGCTCCCTTTCGCAGCTTCTGTTCCTGTCGTTCAGATTCCAGGGAGGCTTGTTTGGGGTGACAGCCATGGCCGCTAACTGGGGCCCCTGCAGACATTATGTCCAGCCTCAGAACTCACACGGTGCCGGCGCGGCATAGGTTGGTTGCCAATGGGATAGAATGAACGGAGTTTCATGAGTTCCATGGGTGATTTCAAAGGGACACCGACTTTCATTGTGTATACCTTGAAAACAACATCCAATAGGGTCCCCACCTATTTAAAGCACCCCCCTCGCGTGGTGGCAGGCCAGTAACTTGCGGCTGGGGTTTCCTGGCTCAGCTGCCGCAGGAAAAAGGCAGGGAGTTGACAGTTGACCCCAGTGGCTGTTGGCTCAAGCGGAATGGTTTTCAAGGGATTGAAGTCAGAGTTCTTGGTTGCTCGTTTCCCTCCAACTTGATGAAGGGCGACGAAACGAGACTTTCAACATGACACCCGATGGTAGGATTGCAAGCCCGTCGAACAAAGCAATTGTCACGCAATGGGCTTCCAAAAAGGGGAGGCAGCGAGCGCTGGTTGTGTGGACTACCCATCCCAATGGAAACCTAAAGGTTTCTTCAAAACATCTCGACAGAAACATCTTGACAGAAACATCCCGGCTCGTACCCCAAACAAGCCGACAGTTCTGATTCTAAGACACGGTTTCCCCATCCTTTTTTCGGCCATGAATATCCATAGCCCAAGTAAAAGCTTGCTCTCCCTGCACCTGTAGCTTGGTGGCTTCGAGAGACAAGTCCAAGCTTGGTGGCTGACGGGCGAAGCATTCGGATGTGCACCAGGGTGAAACACCTTGTGAATGAAAGGTGAGCGCCAAACTGGCGGGAATTCTGCCAGCTTTCTCATACGGCTACACATTCACATGGAATCATTGAAAAAGAGGAAACTCCTTTTGGGGGAATGGAACCCTGCTTTGGGGCAGATTACGCAGGAGTCCCCAACCGCAGCACCCCATGACGTCTCACCTCTGGGCACCGGTCCCATGCTCCTTGGCCAGAAACCGCAGCCGCCGCTCCCGAGGGTTCTTCACCAAGGTCTCCTCAAGGCGACTGCACCGAGCTCCGTTGGTGCGGTCACCGGATTTAACACGAATCAGCAGTTGAGTCAATAACTGTCAAATAACTTTTAGTGGGTTAAATTCGGAAATCCCACCACTAAACACTAAAAGGCTAAAATAAGGGGATGGCTGAGTCAGAAACAACACCCGGTATCAAAATGGTCGTACTCCCAGAGCCATGCTTCAAGGACTAAGAAGGCGGCCGCAGCTATTTATGGTTGGGATTGTCCCTTACTAACCTTCCCACAATCAACAGTTCTAGGGGTGCCTTCCCCATTCTTTCCAGTGGCAGGGATCCTTCTTTTCAGGAAACCATCAAAAACCCAAGGGAAACGGATCCGGTAGTTGAAAGAACAACGGTTGAAAAGAATGGGGAATCAATCCCTAGAACAGTTGATCGGTTCCCGGTGGTGTCCATCGAAACGATCGCCACTTTGGAATGGAGGAACCCCTACAAGAGGATGGTGGAATCCCCCACCAGGTTGGTCGGCACAGGACATCCGAGCAACGACACGGACATGTCAAATATGGCCATGGGTCAAAAGCCCGAACCCCAAGTGAACATCCCAAAACGGATCCCCTTAGTTTTGACAACCACAGCCATATCTGTTCGCGTGCATGTGGCGACCGGATGGCAGAAAAAAAAGGTCTCCACTCGCCATCTCGCAGCTCGCGGCCCACTCCTCCACGAAGTTTGTGGTTTGCGACCTCCGTCTTCCCAGGTTCACAAGCTCGGACCCCAATTTAGGTTCGTCCCCTTCTGGCTTTGCAAAGATATCCAGGGCTGTGGTTCCAAACCCAAGGCAGCGAAGTGTAGAAGGCCTGTGGTCCCCTAGGTTGCTGAATCCTTTGCTAGATTGGCCGACTCGGGTTTTGTGTGCTGCTGAAGTAGGGCTCGCATGCCCTTTTTGCTCTGCGAGATCAAAATTCTGATATGGATTGGCGACATGCTCACCTAAGGGCAAGGGCCATGCTCGCCTAAGGGCAAGGGAATGCAAGTTCAAGCTGTGCGCTTGAAACACCCGGCGCGGGCAGCAAAATTCGTTTGCATGGCCAAACGTGAGAACCAGTAATCATTGTGAGGTTAGACTTCCTTTGGTGTCTTTTTTGGGGGGTGACCCAGCTGCGTTTTGAGATGGCCCCCCTATACATTGCTGAATCGGGCCATTTGGCCCCGGGTTCAGACCAATCTGGGGTCCCACGCCACAGCAAGTACTCCTCGAAATCCACCTGGGCTCTTCAGACGCCATCTGCTGAATCCTTCGAAGTGGGACTCCCATCGAAAGGCCAATTACATGCCCTGGTGAGCTTTAGCATGATTTCCCCCAGACTATGCAGCTGTGTGCCGGGTCCGAGCAGCCGAGGTTCCACTTCAACGACGGAGTCAAGAAGGTCCAACGTGACCGACGGGCTAGGAACACGCATGCCAAAGCGCCCGTGTAGGTCACGCACAAAAAAAAAACGACTTTTGCAGAGGGAGCCGCCCAACCGGTGGGTGTTGCTACATTTGGCTTTTGATTGATTTGGCTCGGACCAGCTACCCCGAAGAGGACACCACCCCCAGACACAAATCAACACTTAAAAAAAGAAGCACCGGACACTTCCCTGGGTCCCGCTTACGCGCATTTGGGCCGGGCGCGCCTCGTGGTTCTCGCCCTGAAAGAGGCCACCCTGCATGAGCGCGGCCGCGCGGAGGCTGCGGGGGATGGGGGCGGAGGCCGCCAGGCCGCATTTTCTCCTGAGGCGTTGGCAGGGGCGCCCCTACGATGACCTCTCTGCAGCGGGGGGGGGGGGGGGAGCAAAGACTCTCCGGTTTTGGGCCTTGAAGTGTCAAGCTTGGACCCACTTTGTGAGGTGGAGTCTCTCGCAAGCTGTTGGAACCAATGGTTGCCGAAACCTTCGAAACGCAGGGTCAAATGGTCGGTTCGCTTCTGACACCTTAAGCTCAAACTCACTGGACAATCCAAAGGTGGTGCCTGGGGCTCGGTGCGAGTGCGGCGGGGGCACTAAATGGGAGTGGCATTGCCACCCATCGTCAAGCAAAATCAAATCAAATGGTCTAGGGGTTTGTCTGAATCAAGCTCAACGAGTTTCGTCCCCAGCAGGCCATAATATGAAGGGTGGCCGACTCAGCCCTCACGACGTGACCATCCCTCCACCTTCCCTCCATCCCCCGCCCACACTTTCGCGCACGCACGCACAAGCGAAAAACAACGCGGCGGCTCAGGCGTCTTCGTCCAGGATGCCCTGCTGACCTCAGGACATAGAGCCATGGACACCCTTTCAAACCACACCTCCCCTCTCCCCAGTGTCTCATTGTAAGGCATCCTTGGCGTCACTTGCCCAGAGGACCTGCAAATGGTCGAGCTTGTGGCGTGACTCAAAATGGGACCAACTGGAGAAAGGTTGACAAGTGAGCTGTGGAGCTTTGGAGTAGGCTCTAGGTACAACATTATGGCACTTTCCACCCTTCCAACCCTTTACTAACATGTTTACCAAGATGCATTTCCAGTAGGCTGTATTTTCACCCCATGAAATCAGCTAGGAACCGAGCCACCTACTAACCTGGCCGTCTTGGGCTGGGTATTTGGGGCGCTGAGTTGGGGCCCTTTCGGCCCTTTGGGCCCCGGGCACTGCTCGAAGAGCCGGCGCCACTTGGGGGCCTCCAGGCGCCGGCCGATGAAGACCAGCTGGGACCGGGTGGGCGCTGCGCTCGGCCAGTCGCTCCGGGGCTCGAACTCGCACATGTCCTCAGCCAGAAAAAGGGGCGAGGGGGAGCCGTCCCAACATGGGGGGCCCCCAAGAAAACCGGATGTGATGCGTGTGTTGTTTTTTCTGCTTGGTGTCTTTTGGAGGTCGGGACTTGCCGAAAATGGCAATCCTGAATCGGCTGAAACACGTGGGGTGGTCCCAAAATCAAGAGCCCCCATGCACATGTGTGTGTCACGTGATAAAACCCATTGACTGTGACTTCTGGTATCCAAGATGCTTGAACAGCTACAACTGGAAACCGGTAGACTACTGCTAAAGTGGCCAAGGACCTTGTGCACTGCTGGACTGAGCGTCAGGTGTTCAAACAAGGGCCCCTGTGTTAGCCATCACGCATGTGTTCATTGCAAAAGTCAAATTGGCTGGCTTCCTTAGCTTCCCGGTACTGCAACACCACGAGTTTTGGGTCCCCCTTGTTGGCTAAACCGCTAATACGCTCATTAATGACCAACCTCTAAAATCGCAGCATGTGCTTTCTTCAATGGGTGTAAAAGGGAGCTGCCTCTGCTATGCTGGAAGTTCTAGATACCACATGATTTCAGCGGCAAGTGACAAAAAGCAATTTGTGATGCGGAGCAGTGGGCAACTCCTGTTCAAAGCAACCAAAGAAGCATTTGCAAACCTCACATGGGCAGCCGGAAAGTTCTGTTTTGTTGTGCCCCGCCACTTCTCCCCATCTCCACTCACTATCAGCAGCTGTAGGGCTTGGTTTGTTTGCGTGATTCTAAGTTCCTCCCAACTGCAGCCACCCCTCCCAACAATACAAAAGAGGAAGGAACATGGAGATCCGCCCGCACCCCCTCCCAAATTTGCCCCAAATGGTCCCACCCTCAACTATGAACTAAAAGGGGCCAACTAAAGGTCCTCTGAAACACGGCCAGCCACCAGACACAGTGCGAGGCGCGTGCACGCCCTGCAGCACTGCTTGGCGCAGGCCCCCGCTCTCACGGATGCAAACCAGGCCCTGACGGACATCCAGCCAGCCACAAGCGGTCACCCCTGAAACAAGAGCAGAACCCAAGGACTGACCAACATTTGCTTTAAGAAGAGCAAACTTGCCAAGAGCGATGAAGCAAGCATGAACCTGGGTTTGCCTTTTGCACACAAGGAACCCGCTTGCCGAGAAAACAACAAAAATACAAAAACAGATGACAGGGGCCGTGCTCGAGAACTGAACCCCAAACTGCTCCCTCGCTTGCTTCTAGGCGGAACGGCAATCCTTCAATTTCTTGAGCGATGCGTAGCACAACATGATGTTGCTCGTGGGGAACACGGCAAGACACATTTTGATGCAAACGTTTTCCAAGGTTGTGGATGTGCTGAAGCCCAACTTGGCTTTGGGCGAAGCAGGGCAACGGGCAAGAACATACTTATGGACTTGATGCAGGCAACGTCAGTGCAGAAGCCCAGCGTGACTGCGGACTTGTGCTTCCACAAGATGACATACCAGGGAACCAAGCTGAACCTGAAGCTTCGGACTCAATGGTCTCTGCGCATGGTACATGTTCCGTCAGCAACTTGTTGCCGTTGCGCACCTGGTTCGGACCCAATAGGTGACCCCGCATCAGGCAGAAAGAACATGATTCAACGCGTGCTCTCATTCCCCAACCGTGAGAAAGGCTGCCCTGCGCACACGTCCCGCTCTCGCCTTGTAGCGATAGAGGTCTACCGCGCGCTCGGCGCGCAGGGCATTCATGACCTGAACGCAGCCAAGAGCCAAGTGCAGTCACCAGGACCGCAGCACGCCCTAGGGCAAACAAAAATACCGCTTGTGTCCACACCTCCGCGTGAGAAAACATGCCGGTAGCATCATGTTCAACCGGCAAGGCCGGCAAACCTGCCCGGAATATCCTCATGTTGGTCAGTAGAATGCAGGACCCAAGCCGAGGCAGAGCCAACTTGGGCCCTCTGAGGTCTGAGGTCACCCAAACTTCCCACGCACTCACCACACGTGAATGCCGAGAGTCAATGAGTGTGTCTTAGATCAGCAGAACCGAACATCAACCAGGCTCTGTTTGCAAAAAAAACATGTCGCTTTAAGGCACGCAATACAAAACCACGCAAATGCAGTCAGAAGGATCGAAATCCCGGCAAATTTTGCACATCCCTTCTTTATGTTTCCAGCAACTCCCCTCTGGTTTTCAACCACAGCATGGGTATCAGGCACTTGCACATCCCCCCTCCCCCCTCCCGCCCCCCACTCGCCTGAGTGAATCGCTGTAGCACCAGTGGCTTCTCCAGCCTTGGGAGGTTTGGCTTTGGCTTCACTGCCCATGTCTGTTTGGTGGGTAAGAAAAGCAACAAGTTGCAAACAACCTGAAACGAGCCAAGTGCGCAACCGTGGAACATTTCCTGAGGCTACTAGCAGATACACAACCTGCCCAAAGGCCGTCCCCTTTTCCGTTTTTTGGCACGTCCCAACAGCGCCAAGGCGCACAAAGCTGCAGGTGCCCACGCCCGAGTCGTGCCGAAACGCAGTGCTCGTATGGCCGTGGCCGTGGCCGTGGCCCTCGTGGCCGTGGCCCTCGTGGCCGTGGCCCTCGTGGCCGTGGCCCTCGTGGCCGTGGCCCTCGTGGCCGTCCAGGCGCCGGCGCTTCTCCGGTGGCTCAGAGCCCAGCCTCGGGCCAATTGGGGCGGCCGCCAAAGTCCAGTGGTACACAGCCCACAACCCCATTCGCACGCACACACACACACACACAACACGTTCTTTTCACACACACGCAAACATTCACACACGCAGAGCGCTCAAACTAGAACCGGGAACAGGCATGATCTCAATCGTTGCATTCCGTGTCAACAGAAAGAAAACACACGCGTTCGCTCGGGATTGCAAAGCGCAGCGCTGGGATTTACCAGACACACACAGACAGACACACAGACACACACACACAGACGCACACACACAAAGACAGACAGACACACACACACACACACAAACACACACAGACACACACACACACACAGACAGACACACACACACACACACAGACACACACACACACACACACAAACACACACAGACACACACACACACAGACACACACACACACACACACAGACACACACACACACACAGACACATGCACACACAGACACACACACACAGACACACACACACACACAGACACACACACACACAGACACACACACAGACACACACACACAGAGACACACACACAGACACACACACAGACACACACACAGACACACACACACACACAGACACACACACACACAGACACACACACACACACAGAGACACACACACACACAAACACACAGAGAGAAACACACAGAGAAACACACAGAGAAACACACACACACACACGGACACACACACACACACAGACACACACACACACAGACACACACACACACAGACACACACACAGACACAGACACTTACACAGACACACACACACAGAGAGACACACACACACACACAACACGTTCCCTTCACACACACACACACACATTCACACACGCAGAGCGCTCAAACTAGAACCGGGAACAGGCATGATCTCAATCGTTGCATTCCGTGTCAACAGAAAGAAAACACACCCGTTCGCTGGGGACTGCAAAGCGCAGCGCTGGGATTTGCCAGAGCGCTCCTCGAGCACTTTGTCCAGGTGGAAGCTCTGCGCCGCCAGCAGCTCGTCCAGCGGCACCTCCCCGGGCCTCGCGTCGCGCCCCCCCACGCCCGAAATGGGAGGCGTCACTCGTGTTTCCCTAAGCAACCCGTCTCAAAAAGGGTGCCCTTAAAAAAAGACACGAAACGTTCTGAAACATAATGGATAACGTAGTTCTGCGTTGAAAAGTTTACCCTTTGAGCTGAATTGGTAATGAATCACGCCACACCCAATCTATGACTTGATGTTGAACAAGCGTCGATCGTGATTGTTCGAATCTGCACAAGTTCCTGCTACGATCGCAATGATGCGTAACCCCGAGATGCACACTCAAAGGGCTATCAAATGCGATGGCGTGTATCTTCTAATTACAACAGCATGCCACTGAGACAGCGTCTTCCACTTCACAAACCACACATACAGCCACCTAGGTCTTCGAAAACAACCAAAACAAACAAAGCAAAGCAACCAACAAGGCACCACCAACTAAGCCACCGTTTTTCCCCTGGTGTCGAAGCGCAAAAAAAGGCGCCAAAAACCAATGAGGCCTCTGGGCGAGGCTGCAGCGCACGATGGGGCACAGCGCGTTCATGGCGCGGATCGTCGCCTCCACCTCCCGGACGGCAGCTTCCCCGGCAGCGTCCACCTGCGGAGGTTCCACGGGCGGGGGGGGGGGGAGAGTTTGCTGGGATTGCGGGGTTGAATTCAACTCATCTGGGAGTCTAATTAAAAATGGTTAGTCTCCAAAAAAACTACTCATCTCTGACTGCTTTTTGGAGTTTGGAATCAAACTGTACTGGCAGGGTGGCCCGAGCTGGTACAGGGGAACCTCAAGGAGCATGTGCTCCTTAACCCTGTCTGCTCAGGTCGTCTATGTGAAAGGAATTGTGGTGGATGCTCTTGCCGAAAGTCATTGCTGATGTGTCACTCCATTGAGATTGATGCTGACCCTGATGTGCCCGGCTGTTATTGTTTTTGCTGCCACAAGACACGAGGTACAGAGTTAGTAAGAAGGCAGCATTCAAGCAAGGACGAGGGGTTGGCGCAACCTATGCCGTCAGGGTCTCCCAATGCCAAGGATCAATTCACCCCCTTCCCTTCGCCTTGTTCAGCAGCACTTTGTCTGCGAAAGCCACTTGCTGCGCCGACTCGTTCACCGCATCCTCGCGCGACTCCAAGTTTTCCGAACTTGTTCAGGAATGCACCGGTCGATGACCAATGCACCCCCACGACGCCAGCTTGACAAAGCCAACATCGCTCCCGTCCTCAGACCTCTCCCTGCGTAGCTGCTGCAGAAAGTGGCAAGCCTCAGCGACTGGAATCCGAAAGGCGAGCTTGTGCTGGATCTGAGTCCAAGCAGCCTGCGTACATCCAAGTAAGGAGCTACAAAGGGGTCCAACCTTTTAACTTACAGCTGCACAAGCACAGCACATTTAGAACAGAAATCCCCAAGTACCTGACCCTCATCATTCATCATGGGCCTTTGGGCCTGTTTGATTTCCAGGATTGGTGAGGGCTGCTTCTCATCTGGCGAAGGCTAAGCCGCGTCCACGAGCGTCAGCACACCGTCTATCCGCGTGCGGGTCCGCAGCTCTTCGTCTGCGAAGAAGGTCTTGCACACCGGGCCTTTGCGCAAAATTAGCCCAGCCAAAACCCCCAAAAAACATGTAAAGAAGTACAAAGGCGGCCGTACCCATTTATGGCCGGGACCAGCCTAATTTTCATCTGTCCGGGTTTTGATTGTGGCCCATGTCCCCAAACCCACCTTCGAACAGTCATCTGCCGGCCTGGGTCCGCCAAGCCGGTGGTCTCAATGAGAATGCCATCCAGCACCCGCTCGCCTTTGTCCTCTGTTTCCCCTGTGGCAGCTGCAGCCGCCTGCTTGTTGGCCAGCTCTGTGTCGGCCTGCAAGGCTGAAAGAGCGCAGCGGGACAATTGTCAGCTGCACTTTGCAAATACAGCTGAAATACTGAAACACGCAAAAACAACAACGAGAAACACAAACACACTAATTACACCAGCATAGACCCCAGATAGCAAAAAACAGGCCGATGATTGCACTCTAACAGCACCCCTGAAGAGAATCTCGCAAACATCCGTCCGCACCGTCACCAGCACCTCAAACAGCACCCCAAACTGCATGCTCCCTAGCAAACCCAGCCGTCGATCTTGCAAACATGCGCCCGCCCCAAACAGCATCCCAAACCAAACTGCATGCGCCTAGCACCCAGTCGTCAATCCTGAAACGTGCCCGCACCATCACCAGGCCCACCAGCAGCCCAAACTGCATGCCGAGCGCCCTGCCCTCAATCTCGCAAATGACTTTCCCTTCTTTATTCGAAGTTAGAACCCTATAGCTTTCAGCTATCTAAGGAAACACCAACAACTCAACAAACACTCAAACCCCCGCCCCCTAAACACGTACTTACCAACAACTCAGAGTTGGATTGCATTAAGCTTCGCGAACATACAAAAGGCCCCGTGCCCCCAACCCGCGTCGCGCTCTGCCCATCCACGCGAAGTGCGCCTTGAGCAGGATCTGCTTTACCGCCTCCACCAAGTCGCTGCGCACCGTGCAGCAGAGGCACCCGTTGTCCAGCAGCACTACCTAAGCCGAGAAGAAAGGGCTGCACCAAAAACACCGGGAAGATAAAAACAGACACACAAAACACCCAGCAGACCCCCAAAACACCCAAACCATCCGGAAAAGCACTCCTGACCACAGAAACACCGAAACTGGCGCTGAAACACCCTTCCCGAGAAGAAAAACGCTTGGAAGGCCGACCTAAACGGAAAGTGCCTGGAAGGGGACATGGGAGACTCTGCATTTGCAAGTTATAACAGTTGCAGCTGCTTCCTGCTGTACGGTAGTCATCTCTCTCGTGTGCGGTCCCATTCTGCCTACCCATTCCCGGCATCCCCAACCGTCAGCCCCGCATTTCATGCGTCTTCGTGCCCAGGGCGCCGACTCGGCGGTGCGCTTGGCATTGCCCGCCTGCAGCAGCTGGTTGTCGATGCCGATCTGCCCCACCTCGTTCTCGATCACGGCGTATCTGTAGCCGTGCCGGGCCTGGAGGCTCCCAGTCGTCAGGATGAACCAGGAGGGCGGGGTGGGGAAGTTCCATCCGTTGGCTCAAACTTCTTGGAACTGTTGGTTGTGCAACATGAACAATGCCGCCGAAGGCCTTTATAATTTGTGGTTGACGGAGCTCTTGGCGGAGCCAAAGCAAGACTCGGGTTGGTTGAGGCCTCCCCGGAAAAGCCCCCCCCCCCTTTCTCGGCGGCCTTGAGCATGTAGTTGAGCAGCGTGGTCTTGCCTCGAGCGAGGCCGATTTGATATGCCTTTGATCCCTCCTACTTACATGTCAGTTTGGCTTTTGTCAGTTTCTCCCATCTACTGGTGGAATTCGGTGACGATATACGGACGTGCAGGATGATGCGTCTCGACCGTAGCTTACGGTTGAAGTGTGGCAGCCTGTGCTTTGCTGGTAGCAGTCTTCCAAGATGCCGAACGCAAGGGAGCTATCATGCAAAACAACCGCCGACGTTGCACTGCCTTGCCAGAATCAACTCTTTCGAGCCTTGAACTGAGGGCCACTGGAAAATCAAGAATACCATCCAAAGCGCCTACGAGCACGTGCTGTCCCAAACACTGGCATGCTTGGCACAAAGCCTGGCCGGAGCTCACCCCCCTCGCCACCTGAAAACCTGGCCCTAGAACTCTACAAATAGCTCCAAACAGGAAACCATAAGCTCGCAAGGTTCGATTCAAAAGCTCAAAGGAATCCAGAACAGAAACAATTGAATCAAAAGCTCAAAACAGGCCAAAGGTTGATGCACTCCTGGCCACTGGGTGCTTCTCCAGGTTTTGTTCGACCCTTCCCATCCGGAGCGCTAGCCATCGCTTGCCCGCCCGCCCTGATGGCCTGCGCCCAGGAAGCCAGTGAGCACCGTGACCGGCACCTCGCGTCGGATCTCACCGAACCGAAGCGCGGACAGAGTCAGTGGCACCAAAAAAGCGACAGATCGCCTCAGACTGGGAAACGCCTCTAAATAGTTTCTCTGTTGTTGTTCTTTTGTTTTTTCCCCCCGACAGGCTACTCCACCTGCCAAAATGATGCCTAGCCAGCCACAAACTGCACATTGCGGGGCGAGATCACGGACCGAAAACCTCACATTCAGGCAAACATCCGATCCCCCAACCAAAAGGAGCACATCGCCAAAGTTGCCCTGCTCATACATTCAAGTGGAACACAAGAAGCAAGCCAGCCTTCCACTCTCGTCGTCTTGGTTGACATGTCGCCAAACAAACCACTGTTCCTTTTCATATCTGCAAGAAGACCCTTTCAGAAGTGTTCTATTCCGTGGCCGTGCTGCATAGCCTCATCCCACTCAAATCCCCCGCTTCCAGCCCTTGTGCCTGCCGCTGAAGCAGCTGCTTCCTCTCCTGGAAACCGGCAACGCGCCTCCCCAAAGCAGCTCGAGCAAACCAGGCGGATATCTCGTTGGGCTACATTCTCTCACCTGGGCTGCCCTCAGATCCCCCGCCAAAAGTCTAACTTTCAGTGGGTTAAATGGAAACTACCACTAAACTCTAAAAGGCTAAAGAGCTAAGGGGGATGGCTGGGTAGCCCACTTAATGGAACTACCACTGGGAGCTACCCAGTCACTTGAGTGGGTTGGCCCCAACATAGTCCCAAGGTGTTTCTTGCCGTTCTGGGAATCTTCGATACGCACTTCCATCCACACCGTCTGAAACAAGGAAGCTCCAAGTCCGGGAATTTTCACTCGGCAAAATCAAGGATCGCCTTCGAGTTCTGCACAGGCAAATTGGAATTCCACCTTGTTGAGTGGCTTGGCACGCTTTAAATTGGACGGAGCCTCCTTTGATTGGGCGAATGATTCAAAGAAACATGATAGATAGGGAACCATGCTCCTCCCATTGCTGCCGGGGACTGCAGTCACGCAATGTCATATGGCCGTCAATTCAGCTGTTGAGCTGATTGATACAGTTTTCAACGACGTGGTGACTCTTACTCAAATGAGAAGGACTCACTCTAGGAACAAATGAGTCAGCTTGACAACCCAACCAGCAAGCACCCCTCTTCCTTCCTTGTTGGATATGTTTCTGAGCAAGATCTTGAATGCAAACAGAAGGCAGCAACCTCTTTCGCAAGCAATTGAAGCACCTCTCTTGCAAGTGCCCCCACTCAAGCACTTTTCGTGGGGTAGACAAGGCTTGGCGGCCATATCTCTGCTTTGCAACCTCTAGGAGTCTGGAAGAAATCCTTGAAACGTGGTTCTCCTGTTGGCTTCAAAGGGAACAAGGACCTGGCTTGCATGCAACATCTGTGGACAATCCTGTACGAAAAACTTCTCACCGGTCACCGGACAAATAACATGCCGGAGATAGACCATGGTTGGGAAAGAGGCATGGCGCATTACTTGACCAAATGAATCCACTGGGGCTTTAATCGGCGTGTCTATCCCTAGAATGAAACCCCGCTCTCAACGCGGCCATGATCTACGATACATGTTTAAAAAGGGTTGTTCTATTCGACTAAAAGGGGCCACCTCTTTGCATAGAACTGACATGAGTTTTCTTATGAAATTACATGGCATTTTCCTTTTCACACAGGATGATCATGTAGTATCCGAGCTTCGAGCCTATTTCTTAGAACCCATACAGGTCACCCAACCTTTGTCCAGGGTCCCATGACCGCAATCCTTTTTACACCAGGTGGATCATGAATCAATGCAACAAGAAGCCCCACCTTCACCTGGGAGACTTCAGGCCCCTTTTCCTCAGCAACTGTCATTCCTCCAAAATCTCTCGATTCCACATTGAAACCTCTTCGAAGGAATTGAGAGGTAGGGGGCAATTCCTCCAAAACCTCAAACTGCAATTCCTCCAAAACCTTCCATTCCTTTTAAAAAAACACAAAACGGGCGGTTTTCCATTGGAAGGGCGGCAAGACCCCTTCGTTGGATCGACTCACCCACCCCACCCCCCGCCGCATGGGTCCTCCGCCTCCAGCGCCTCCAGTGCCTTCCGCGCCCTCGCGAGGCCTTGCTCCAGCTCCGCGCCTGCGAAGCGACCACCGCCCGCGGCTCGCCCCAGCGCCCGTGGCCTTTTCGGTTTTTGCAGGGCGCCACGTGGGGCTGTAGGGATGTGGTTTTTGTGAGATGACTATTTCAGGAGAGAAGCTTGGAGAAAGATGAAGGCAATGTACTACTTTAGCACTTGGTCTTGTCGTGCACTTATATCCAGTGTATATACCTCGAAGGAAGCAAATCCCTGAAATTCTCGAGTGACATGTCAGAAACGTGTGGGCATCAAGACTGGCTCCGGGTGTACTTGTACAATTTTGTCACCTCCCCCCCCCCCGGCACCCCCCGCACCGCACCCGCTCCTCCGGCCTGCGGCTCCCATGTCCCTTGCCGCCCGCAAGTCCCGCTGGCCCCGCGCCGGCTGCTGCAGCTCCAGGAAGACCAGGCCGCGCAGCAGCAGGATCCGCCAGAAGCTGGCGACCGCGGTGCACGTTTTTGGGCCGCACGCGTGAGGGGCCAACGCGCGGGAGTCGATGAGTCGATGGGTTGGGTTTCTTGGAACAATCTAGAAAACACCCCTCAGGCTTCAAAGCTCAAGTGTGGAATGGTGCGAAAAGGCAATGGTTGAATGAGCCCAAAGAAGGGAGAAAGAGACTAGGGCGCCCTGTTGGCCTCGTTTTGGAGAATAACGACACAAAACCGCTGTTACAGGTGCCGGACTTTGAGAAACACCCATCGGGTGGAGAGGCAGGCGTGGGGAGGTGGCTGGTAACATGAGCTATAGAAGCCTGCCCTCTTTCCTTGACACCAACTTGGCTCGGGGTATTTGCCTTTGAGGGTGTTGTATTTTAATCGTATGTTGAGCCTATTGTTTGTAGGACGTGTTTCTTTGCAACAGCCTTCTTCATCAAGCAATTGGGTTCTTCGGGCTTGGCGCCGCAAAATGCAAAATGCTGCAAGATACTAGCCTCTAACTGTCCATGGCACAGTGGTGGACCTGGTTTGGAACGGCTCCACCTCCTGATGCAACACACGGGCGGTGTGTTTGACTGGATGTGCCATGTGTGGGGTCCCGACAATTGTCCACAATTCTAGCGAGGAGAATCAATCAAACCACCTTTCATCGACAGCACGCCTATATAATGACTCTGTCACACCTTCCACCAGAGCAGGACCTGGAACAGCCCGATATGCATCAAACAGTTCTCGCAAAGATCCTTGTCACAAGAGTAGAACATTGGCCTCTGGACGGAAGATAAAGGGACCCAGTACTCCTCACTTTCTGCACTAGAAGGGATAGTCACTGCTTTAAGTGTGCATCCAATTGCAGTTCTGGAAGAGCAAACTGTCTGGCCAACGCACATGAAAGCCGGGCGGATCCACCCTACAGCAAGCATCCAAAGTGGTGCCAATAACTCCACCCCGGCGCCGGACTCAAACCTCGGCCGCCGGACTCGCACGGATCCGATCCGCGCGCCTCTCCACGTCCGCCGGCTCCGCGCCGGCCTCGCGCATGGCGAGGCCGAAGCCGGCGGGGTCCGTGTAGAAGCTCCTGGCCCCACGCGGCGTGCGGTGGGAAGCCAGCCAGGCAGCCGGCAAAATGGAGCCCCAAAGGCCTCAAGAACCCAAGTGCCAATGGAAGGGCTTCAACCAACAATGAGAAAAACATAGCTTTAGTGGATGGGTAAGTCGCCTCATTCGCTTCTTGGAATCAGGAAGTGTTGCACTCCTTGACTCTGACACTCGTAGGAACAACCATCCATGTCATCCTTCTCCCGCCAACGCTCTGAACCGCTTCCGCACTTGACGCCGAGTGCCAGAGTAGCTGCTAATAACACACAACCTGGCCAAACTGTGGGTGTCTCCCCACATTGGGAAGGCTGCCGGCTCTGTTTGTTTGGATGTCCAAGGGAAACGCAAGTAAGCCAACCACGTTGAGTGACTTTTGGGACTCCTACAATTGCAGACACGGCCCTGCACATTCACCCCATGCCCCGACAACCCCGCCCGTCTTTGTGTCGATGCCCAGCTGCAGCACACAGGGCCGCTCGCTGAAGGCTCGCATCTCCAGCATCAGCGCCTCGCGCCGTTTCACAGTCGCACCAGCGGCGAAGTGCCTCCCCGAAACTCCGGCAACTCGTCCCAAGATGCAAACAAATGGGATGCGTCTGTGGAAGGGTTTGGGGTTTGGATCTGCGAATTCCTTTGTTGAGGGATACGCGGAGCATGCTGCTACGCTGAGATCGATTAAACAGAATGGGTACCTCTTGTTCGGGTGAAGCAGCAATGCACAGACAAGGACATGTTCATTCCAGGATATGAACATAGCATGATAAAGACAGCAAAGCACCAAAAAACAAAACAGTGAATCCAGAGGAAACTAGGATCTCCACATCTATTTCGTTGTGCATTTCTTTGAAATTATGCAGTTCAATTTCTTTTCACTGGTATTATCTCAATTCATATCATCAGTACATGGCCCCAAAGCCCGAAAGCCCCCCCCACCCTTCCCTCAACGCGCCCGCCACGTGGCCCTTCGTTCAACGGCCCCGTTCCAACGGAACGTCGCCTTCATGGCCTCCATCGCCTGACCCTCCCGCAGCTGCTGCCGCACCGCGGCCTCCCACGCCATGGGCCCGGCGCGAGGCTTCGGCTGCTGCCTGGTACGAGTTGCTGCAAAAAAGAACGCGAACCAAAGTGGCCCCTGTTCTTGGCTCGGGTGGATTTGAGTAGAATTTGAGTATGATTTGGTTGGGGTGTGTCTGGCTCGGGTGGGTGGACTAGAATTTGAGTATGAGTTGTTTGGTTTGGTTGGGGGGGGTGTATGGCCGCGTTGTGTATGTGCCTGCAGCTGCGGCCTGCCAGTGACTAATCCCTGCTGTGCCGTGCTCGATCTTCTAAGCGACGATATAGGTTGAGCCTTGCTAGCTCTGCAATTTGAAATTTGGGCAGTCCTTTGTGTCAAGTTGGCACCGCTGTTCAATGGCCAAACACACGTAGAACAAATGAGTACAGGAGTCAAAAGTAGTGACAACCTTCCTTTCATGGTTGGTTCCTGCGAAGCCTCAGCTTGAGCCAAGCTCTGCCAGACGCACATCACGTCTGATATTGATAGCCCTGGGCTCATTTCATCGAGCTTTCAGATGAGAGCTTCAAACGAGCTCTGGCAGTTTCTATACCAGTCCTCCACGTTTGATGCATGTCTCTTGTGTTTTCGCGTTGATCCCTCAGAAGACTCTTCAGCACATTGCGAGCATACCTTTGATAGCGGATCATGAGAACTCCCCCCCAGTTTCCCCTGGCCCCTACCATCACCCAGCTTCCCCAGCCTCCAAAGTGCCTCAAATTCCATTCACTCGGCTCCCACTCGGCACCGGCTCCCCCCAGCCCGGCCCAGCGCCCCCCCCGCTCGGCTCGGCGCTGCCCGTGGGTCTCCTCATGCCTTTCTCGAACTCCACGGGGGTCAGCACCTTCCGCCCCTCGCCCAGCTCCCGGAACTCGTCCAGCGCCGCCCTCGGCTGACTCGGCCGGTGGGGGTCGGGTGCCACTCGCCTGAAACATGCTGACAACAACGCGTCTTGAGCTTCGATAAGATTTGCCCACCAAAAAACGACCAAATGTTTTGGGCTTATTGCCAAAAGGTGAGTCAAGCCAAGCAAGTGCATGGCAATTTATTTGGCAAGCACGAGAAACCTCGCGACTTTGCTGCGGGGGAAGGGGTTGTCCCTATACCCGCCGGGGTATATGGAAACTGGTAAGTGACCACAAGTGATATGATGAGATGCTTCTGAATTTGAACCACCAAGACATTGTGTGACTACATGGTGACCACCACGTGAATTGCATCTACCAACATGAGTCCTGACCAACATTCGGGCCTGCCCAACACCGTGAGAGGATCTATATGGCAGGAAATGACGCACAGCAACCAAATGTTGCCATGACAACTGCAAGTGTGACTACATACTTCAAAACAGCCATAGAGAGGTAGAGAAGAAAAAAAAGTGAAACAAAAAAAAGGAAAAAACAAAACATCATTGGACCAGAAATGACCTCAACCCACATGGAATACTAAGAAGGATCAGGGTCTGGCCTGTACCAGTCATTTTTGGTTCAACGAGAATCGAACCAGTGGCTGCGAAGGCTCTCCCCCTTCAAACACTGCCCCGGCCAAAGCAAAGAAAGCCTAAACTCCATCCAAAAGAATACGTACACTTCAACTAGCTCAGAAAAGAGCATGAAGGTTTACTTCATCGGCCAAGATTAAGCAACAAGTGCGCGGTGCTTGTTCTGTGCGAAAACCAGCGAAGAACAGATGGTCAAGTAGGAAAATAGTGAACAAACGGACCAACGGCAACACAGCCCACGCCCCCCCCCCCTCCCCCTCATTGTTATTGGGTCTCTTTTGCTGCTTTTTTCCGAGCCACTCCTTCGGCAGGCCCCGCTTTTTGGGCCTTTCCGGCCCGAAAAACCGCCCAAGGCCCGCGCTTCACCGTGCCCACCGACAGGTTGTGCTTCTTCGCCATGTGCACCGCTTCCTCGAAGGTGAGCACCGTGGAGATCCTGTCATTTCCCGTCGCTGGCCCGTTGGGATGGACGTCAAATTGGAGGAATGCCTCGGGTCAGATATTGGTTCTAGGTAAATGGAACCCCCCTGTGGTTTAATTTCCACACCCATATACACCCACATTAACCCCCCCCCCCAAATGGGTCAAATGACAAATGTGGGTGTGGCTCAAAATTAAACAGCAGGGGTTACGCAGGTGTTGGTCCATGTTTTCACTTACCAGGGTTCCATTTTGGTACCGGCTTTTTGAGCCACAGCCATGTGTGTATACGTACATTACCTACATGGATTGTCTCTAAGTACAAATGTAAAAACACAAACCCCGCGTGGACTGCTTGCTTGTTGGAGGCGTGAAGCAGGGTGCTCAAACAAGCTTTTGCGTGAAGACAACAGCCACAAGTTCCATGGGGCCTCTGTCCAGAGGCAACAAGTATTCTGCAAGGGCTGATTCCGATCGCTCGGTTCATCCATCATGTTTGTTCAACAACTTCCCCAGGAGAAGGGCCACTTTAGGAAGAAAAGATGCCGGGATGCCTCCAATTTGTGTTTACTCATCGTATTCGTCCAGAAAGGGTCCGTATTTGTGACACGCCGCACATGGGTATCAACCTGAGAAATCAGGAGAATATGTTTGTCAATACATGCAGCGTTCATCAACTCACAAATAACTTCTACCAAAAGCACTGTACCAAAAAGGAGCCTCTCCAATCATCATGCAAGGATCTGACAGCCGGCTGGGTGTACCACATGCTCGGAAACACCTCCCCGTCGTCCCATGACCCGAAGCGGTTTTGGCTTTGGAATGTGATGAGCCCGGCGGGTCAGATTTCGGGGCCGACACCAACGATATGACGCCTTTCACCAAGACATAGAGAGGCCACTATGGCTGGGCTTGCTCCTTTGGTCATCGGTTGGTCCGTTTTGGCGTGACCCCAATCCTCCTGTTCAATCAATCAATGCGGAAAAAATACCGTCCAGGTCTTGTTCAATCAAGAGGCAAAAACGGACAATGCTGGAACTCACCTCTTTTCACATCGGATGTGATGTGCAGCAAACATGTTTGACAAGCGACATCTCAACAAAACCGAGTCACAATTAAAGCCTCACACCAAAGTTACCCAAAACCATGTAAAGCATCAAGAGCAGCCACAGAGACCTTAGTTGGAACTGTCCCCTCCCAACCTTTGATTGCGCCTCAACTTGGGCTGCATGCAAAAAGGGGGAGATCGGCCTTCTTTCCCTTTGCGCACAAGGCTGGCTGCTCAGGGGCAGTGGCGGCAAGTTCCGTTTGGTCATTGAAGTGTTAAAAAAGGCAGATCATCTGGCCATCTCCATCGTGTGGATAAAGAACTGGCACAAGCGGTCTTCGAAGGAAAACATGTGGCTTCCCAAAGCAGGTCGGCCAGCTTTCAAAAAGACAGAAAGGCAAGTTCAAACAGATCCCCCCCGCCATTGTCCCCCTCCCTCCACCCCCCTCCCTCCAACCCCCTCCCTCCACCCCCCTCCCTCCACCCCCCTCCCTCCACCCCCCTCCCTCCACCCCCCTCCCTCCACCCCCCTCCCTCCACCGCTCCTTGGCGTCTTTACCGCCATCACAGGCTCCTCGGACAGTCGGCCAGGGCTTGAGATGTCACATGTGCCACACCTTTGTTGGAGGAACCTCCTTTCGAACTATGGGCTCCATGTGAATTTGCAGGGGAGAGATCCCACAGGAGATTTGTCCCAGTGCCAAATTGTGAGGCGCTTGGTTTGCCAAGCCCCACGAGCCCTGAGCATATCTTCCTGCCTCAACATGGGCATCATATGGCAAAACGTCTTCCAAGACTATCTGAACAACCTCATCCGCGAAGACTAAGAATTGAAGAGAAATCACCCCCCCTGGAAGGCAAAGTGAGCTCAGACTCACCGCGCTCGCAACAACACCTCAGCCTGACCTCAAGCCGAATCCGTGAAGCTGTGTTGACCTCATCCCCAAGCCACCACTCTCAAGGTGGTCAAGGGCATCCAAACACCCCTTTGTGCATTTTGCTGGGTGGGTTAAATATCCGAAAAAGCTTCCTTGGAGAAACCACTACAACCTCGCATAGGAATAAGGATCGATCTTGAACGATCCAGTTTAAACCAGGGTGAACCTACGTGGCACCATTCCCTCTCTCTTGGTAAGTAAGGGAATGATAGAAGCAACGTGCCATCTGCTTTCACCCAACTGTACGGGGGAGCATGTTCCTTGATGGTACCTGGCTGCCTGCATCTCCCCCTTCCGACCCATGAGCCCGGTCCGGATCTAGCTCCTGGCACGCAAGTCGGCGGTTGCTCAACGGCTAGTCTGTGAGAGCCACGCACCATCAAGTGATCGAGGACAAGAGTGATGTGCATGGTTATGTATACATGTATATATATTTATATATGTGTGTGTGTGCATGTATGTGTATCTGTATATATATATATGCCACCCCCCCTTGAAATACTCAGGTTTTTGGGCAGAACTGAGGTTTTTGGCCAGACAGGGGGTGACAAATGCCTTGAGACTCTGAAATGAACTGGACACTCAACTCCATGCAAATTCTAACCAAGCAGAACTTAAGCTCAACGTTGATTAGGAGTTGCGAGTTGTGTGACCGTCCCATTGGCGTGCGCGAAGTGCACTTGAAGTCACATTGGAGTATGCAAAGTGCAATTTGGCAGCTCCAGCTCAAAAAGCACAACTGTTCAGTACAGGAGTAGTGCGCGAAGTATGTTTTGGCAGCTTCAACGCGCCTGTAGCAGCCCTAATATTTGGTTTTTTTTTATTACTATTATTTTTTGTTTGGCAGCCGCGCAGTTGCATTTACATGTTAACTCGAGTGTTGTGCATAATTCCTGACATGCTAGTTCAGTCTATTTGAAACATATGTTGCAAAGCAACTATCCCACGTGTGTGTGTGTGTGTGTTGCTTGTCTAAGTTGGTTCCATCATCGCCAATAACAACTATTGAAGTGCAAGTAAGGGAAGAATATCCAGTTAAAAAAGCTTTCGAGTTCAAACCAAATTCAAGCTTACTCGTTTGCAGTTTCTTGTGCATTTCAAAAAGCAACTGGAGAAGATAGCTAGTGTCATGGCCAAATGAATTTGGAATCAAACTCAATTTTGAAAGGGTTATTGTCCTTATCTAACTCCATGTGGTTTGAACCAAGCAAGAACTGAGCCAAGCCAATGACCGGAACGTGTTTTCAATCATAGATCCTATCAGATTGCATAAATGCTGTAAAACGCAGTGTTATTCAGCATTTGCTCAGGTCGTGTTGCCCTGGATCGAACATCGAATATACAAGACTCCACAAACATATGTTTAGAATATACTCAATCCTGGTCCCCCAAAAACTTGACAGTTTGTTCCAGACTCATTGAGGTTTCGCCCCCTGCATTGAAGATTGAAGATCTACCATATTTTCTATTTGAGAATCTTCCATCCTGGCCAGCCCTCAAGTCCACAAAACAACTGTAAAGGTGACGGTGTCAGCAACATTTTTCCCCCTGGCCAATTGCAGGCAGTGCAAGTGCACATCCACATTTGACTCTGACAACGTGCACTCCCGGTCTGCCTTTTGGATTCTTCAAATCCGCACTTAAGGCAATCCAGGATCTGGATGGGAGATTGAAGATTCTATGACAACTCTTTCTGAAATTCTCCAAATATGTACTTAGAGCAATCCAGGATGTGCTAGCACGTGCTAGCACATCCTGGATTGAAGATTGAAGATTCTCAGACCACTTGTTCTGCAAAACTTCAATCCATCCTGAGGACAAACTGGTATGTGCTAGCACATGCTGGATTGAAGATTGAAGATTGAAGAATCCCAGAGAGTTGTCAGAGAATCTTCAATCTTCAATCCAGGATGTGCTAGCACGTGCTAGCACATATCAGT